GGGTGTGGGACGCTGGCTTGCTCGCCCTTCCGCCGCCCTTTGCCCCCATCCTCCCTGCATCCGCTTTTCTCTTTCGTTTCAGCACCATCTTGGGCTTAGTGCCCAGCTGGCGGCTGGCCCGGCGCAGAGGGGCGCACAGTGTAAGTCGAGGGTGGGGGGAGTGGGTACGGTCGGGGCCTTGTGGCGGTGCTCCCCCTTCATCCCGTGTTGCCTCCGCAGGTTGTTACCTCGGCCCAGCCACACTCTCGACTTCTGGTCGGGATGGCGGTTGGTCCGGGCACGAACAGCCCAACGGGAGGGTCAGGGGCTAGATGTCGGGTGGTGGGCGCTGTCCTCGGCCTGCGTACCCCCGCTCCTTTCCGTCTCAGCATTGTCCAGACCTCCTTTCCATCCTGGCCTCGTCCTCGGCTTCGTGCGGAGCTCGTGGCTTGTTTGGGGATCGAGGGTCGTGGTACAGGCTAGGGGCGGGGTGTGTTGCGGGGTCCTCAGCCCCTCCCCGTTTCGTCCTGCCTTCCTTCCCAACGGGGTTCTCCTTTCCGGACAGATCGTCGTCCTCGACGCAGTCGAGGTGGTCTGAATCTCGGGGTGGAGGGGCCGCTGGGGGAGGGTTTTGGTCTTGAACGGGGTGGTGTTGGGTTGGGGGGGGGGAAGTGGACAGCGCTTGCACCCTCGTTGCCCAGCTGCTCCCCAGTGCCCTGCCTGGCCCCCCCGAATGGGGGGTCGGGCGGGCCCGTGGCAGCGGCTGGTGGCGACGACTTTTCAACTTCTTATTGATGTACGTGCTCTGATTTGCCGTTGTCCGGGTTGACGGCCCCCTTGTGTTCTGGTCGAGGGGTCGGTCCTGTCGGAACGGCACCATATTGTAGAACTCTCGGCAAACGAATATCTTGGCCCTCGCAACGATGAAGAGCGGAGCGAAATGCGATACTGAATGTGAATTCCAGAAATCCGTGAGGCATCGATACCTTGAACGCACGTGGCGCCCAAGGCTTCTGCCGAGGGCACGCCCGCCTGAGCATCATTGGATTCCTCACGACCTCAGCACCTTCCGTTTCGGTGAGTGGTGGGTTCCGTGGTCGTGGCCTCCCTTGCTTCCCACTTCGAGAGCGTCGATAGCCTAAAGTGGAAGGGAATTGGAGAGCATTCCGAGCGGGCCTGTGGGGGCCGCAGCCCAGAGTGGTGCGTTTCGCTCCGCCCTGTTGTTGCCCTCCAGCACCCGTTTGTGGGTGGTGGTCTTCGTTTCCCGAAAAACGGCATGTAAGGTCGTCCCTTCGGTTTGTGAGGTCGCTGCCTTCCGTTCGCTCCCATCAGCTTGAGGTGGGCTTGAGGTTGGGGGTGATCGCCTCGAGCTGTGGTGGTTCGTCGGGCCTTGCCTTTTGATCTCAGGTCGGGCGTGAGCACCTGCCCAGTTTAAGCATATAACTAAGCAGAGGAAGAGAAACCAAAGAGGATTCCCTTGGTAGCGGCGAGCGAACCGGGAATAGCCCAGACTGAAAATCCGGGGGCTGTGTTGCTCCCTAAATTGTAGTCTTGAGAGGCAACCTCTGCAGCGGGCCGTGTGCAGGTTCCCTGGAAGGGGACGCCGAAGAGGGTGACAGCCCCGTAGACCGCCGGACCCTGCTGCACGACGAGGTGTTGTCCAAGAGTTGGGTTGCTTGGGAATGCAGCCCCAATTGGGTGGTAAGTCCCATCCAAGGCTAAATATGTGCGAGGGACCGATAGCGAAGAAGTACCGCGAGGGAAGGATGAAAAGAACTTTG